TGTTGACCAGGATGGTCTCGATCTCTTGACCTTGTGATCCACCCGCCTCGGCCTCCCAAAGTGCTGGGATTACAGGCATGAGCCACCGCGCCCGGCCTAAGAATGTTAGTTTTTACCTCCGCATAATCTATCTGTGTCTCCACACGTGATTGGAAGTAGGGGTGGGGTGGGGGATTTGGGTGAGGGGGCAACTTTTATGCCATGAATAGAGCACTTTCTCTATTTCAGGACCTGTGCTGGTGGGTCGAGGGCTTTCCCATTTTCCATATGATCTCATGCTCACAGAAAGCCAAATAGGGAAGAGGTTCTAGGCTGATTTTCTAATGTATAAGATTAGGGATCAATAAAGTAATTATAGAGAAGTAGAAAAATGATGATTGGAATTCAGGTGCCTTTGTCATTTGTGTGTGTTACATAATATTTAAGTATTTTTTAATTTTTGTTTTTGAAATGGAGCCTTCCTGTGTCGCCCAGGCTGGAGTGCAGTGCTGCGATCTTGGCTCACTGCAACCTCCACCTCCTGGGCTGAACTCATTCTCCTGCTTCAACCCAGGAGGCGGAGGTTGCAGTCAGTGATTGCATCGAATGAGTGATGGAGTCAAAGTGCGCGTGCATGAGCTCAGTTCTCTCTTACTGCAGCGCTCTTGCTCTGCGGAGTCAGCCAGGGTTGCATCATGACCCACAGGAGTTAATTCCTTGGCAAGTGGAACTTCTCTAAAACGCCCCACCCTCATCAGATGTTCCCTTCCCTTCCCTCCCTCAATTCCCCAGGCATTTATCCTCCAGTTAGGAATGCAGGCAGAACAAACACTGCATTTTTTCCTGAGAAGGAGGTCAGATTTGCAATCATTCCTGTAGCCTCAAGGAGGTCTGAGCTGCAGAAAATTGGAGAGTAAGAGACTTCACCGAGCCCTGTGCTGGCCCCAGATCCCTTTTCCTGTTTGAGTGTCTGGAGTTCAGAGATGGTAGAAGACAGGCCCTCAACCACAGAGCGGGGAGATGCTGAGCCAACGCTTGATTCCAAGTCTTCCACCTCCCCAGGTTTCCAAAAGCAAAGATAGGAGGGATCCTTTACTCACCAGTTTTGGAGCTTGGTTCTGTGGGTGAAGGCCAACCGCTTGAAGGGTTTCCTAGAACACGGGACAGGAGAGAGGTGTGGAAATGAGGATGCCTGTCTTCTACTCAGTGGAAATCATTGAGGTTCATTCATGGCCAACACTCTGTTATCTAAAGTTGGGCCCTGGGAGTCCTGGGGTCCTCTCCTCCATAACTTTTGTATGTGATGCCCACTGTCTTGAGACTTCAAGGTATAATGAGAAAACAGCGGCATCACACTACCTGACTTAAAAATATGTTACAGAGCTGTAGTAAGCAAAACAGCATGACACTGGCATAAAGAAAGGCTCATAGAACAATGGAGGGGGATGAAGAACGCAGACATAACCCATGCATTTACTCCAATGGCTTTTTTTTTGAAATGGAATCTCACTCTGTCACCCAGGCTGTAGTGCAGAGGTGCAGTCTCAGGTCACTGCAACCTCCGTCTCCTGTTTCAAGCAAGTCTCTTGCCTCAGACACCCAACTAGTGGTATGACAGGCACCAACCGCTGTGCTCAGCTAAGTTTTGTACTTGTAGTGGAGAAGGGGTTTCACCATGTTGGCCAGGCTGGTCTCGAACTCCTGGCCATAGGTGATCCACATACCTTGGTCTCCGAAAGTGCTGGGATTGCAGGTGTGAGCCACCATGCACAGCCCATCCAATGGACTTTGACAAGGCTGCCAAGAACCTACACTCAGGAAAGGACAGTCTTTTCAATAAACGGTACAGGGAAAACAGTGTCTACACGCAGAGGGATGAAACTGCACCTCTACCTCTCACCATACACAAAAATCAAATGAAAATGGATGAAAGATGAGTCTGAGGCCTGAACCTATGAAATGCGAAGAAGAAAACGTTGGGGAAATGCTCCAGGGCATTTGCATGAGAAAAGACATTTTGTCTAAATCCTGAAAAACACAAGTAATCAAAGCAAGAAATAGACCATTGGGATTGCATCAAACTAAGCAACTTCTGCACCACGAAAGATAAACCAAAGAAGTGATGAGACAACCACAGAATGTGAGCAACTATTCACAAACTATGCATCTGAGATGGGATTAATAACTAGAAATCGGAGAGGCATGGTGGCTCACGCCTCTAATCCCAGCACTTTGGGAGGCCCAGGGAGGCAGATCACTTGATGTTGGGAGTTTGAGACCAGCCTGACCAACATGGATAAACCCTGTCTCTACTAAAAATACAAAATTACCCGGGCATGGTGGCATATGCCTGTAATCCCAGCTACTCAGGAGGCTGAGGCAGGAGGGTCCTTGAACCTGGGAGGGGGAGGTTGCAGTGGGACGAGATGGCATCACTGCACTCCAGCCTGGGCAATAGAGTGAGACTCCATCCCAAAACAAACAAACAAACAAAAAACTAGAAATATAAGAAGCTCAAACAACTCAATAAAACAAATAATTTAATTAAAAAAGAGCAAAAGACATGAACAGACATTTCTTCACAAACAACACATACAAATGGCCATCACGTCTATGAAAAAGTGCTCAGCATCACTCATCATCAGAGAAATGCAAATTAAAATCACAATGAGTTTTCATCTCACCTCATTAAAATGGCTCTTATTTGCAAGACAGGCAAAACAAATGCTGGCAAGAAGGTAGAGAGAGGAGAACACTGGTACCCTGTCAGCAGGAATGTAAATATGTTTTACAAAGAAAAGTATGGAAGGTCTTAAAAAAAACTAAAAAGAGGCCAGGTGTGGTGGCTCATGCCTGTAATCCCAGCACTTTGGGAGACCAAAGTGGGCACCTCACTTGAGGTCAGGAGTTTGCGAGCAGGCTAGCCAACCTGGCGAAACCTTGTCTGTACTAAAAAATACAAAAATTAGCCAGGCGTGGTGGCGTGCACCTGTAATTTCCAAGGACTTGGAAAGAGACTAAGAAAATGTGCAAATATTAGTTACAAAAATAAAGAAATCTTTTAATTCATTAATGTTTCCTCTATTTATGAATTGCCATGGTTTAGCTGAGGTCAATGACAAGAAGGGCCCTTGTGTCAAAGAGGGAAAATTCCTACTAGGGAGGCTGAGGTAGAAGAATCCTGTGAACCCAGGAGGTGGAGGTTGCAATGAGCCCAGATGGCGCCATTGCCCTCCAGCCTGGGCTACAGAGGGAAACTCCATCTCAAGAAAAAAANAAAAAAAAAAAAAAAAAAAAAGCTAAAAAGAGAACTTTCATAGTATCCAGCCATCTCACTGCTGGGTTTACACCCAAAGGAAAGGACATCAGTGTATCGAAGTGATATCCGCACTCCCACGATTGGTGCAGCACAATTCACAATAACCAAGGTGTGGAGTGAACCTACCTGCCCATCAGTGGATGGGTGGATAGAGAGAACGTAGCACATACACACAGTGGAGACCCCTCCTCCATAAAAGCAATAATGTCCTGTCACTTCCAGCCACCTGGATGGAACTGGAGGGCATTCCAAAGATTGCCATTTCTCACCCACATGCAGGAGCTGGCAGATGGACCTCATGAAGGTAGAGAGAATGGTGGCTACCAGAGGCCAGGAAGCGAAGGGGAGAGGGTAACAACGACAAAAAGAATACAAATGTATCCATGACCACTGGACTTTACACTTAAAAACGGTAAAGGTGAGGCCGGGCGCAGTGGTTCACGCCTGTAATCCCAGCACTTTGGGTGGCCGAGGCGGCGGACCACAAGGTCAGGAGTTCAAGACCATCCTGGCCAACATGGTGAAACCTCATCTCGACTAAAAATACAAAAATCAGCTGGGCGTGGTGTGAGCCTGTAATCCCATCTACTTGGGAGGCTGAGAAAGGAGAATTGCTTGAAACCAGGAGGCAGAGGTTGCAGTGAGCTGAGATTGTGCAATTGTGCTCCAGCCTGGGCAATGGAGCAAGACTCCGTCTCATAAAAAGGTAAAGGTAGTAAATTATATGGGTATATTTAACATCAACAAATATTTTTCCAAATGAAAAGAAAAAGGCATAGGGGTTGCTGGTGATGACGTCTCTCTGTGGGTGAGAGGCCAGGATGGGCTGCTGGGAAATGGATGAGGTTGAGGGGCTGAGGGAACCTCTGATCTCCACAAACTGAGCCCCGTCTCCCCTCCTCTGGGCCTGTCCTGACCTCTCTCTCCATCTGCATGGGTGCCTACAGCCCTGAACGCGGGCCTCCATACGGGCCGTGGAGGGGGGCTTGGCGGTGCCCTGTCTGCCATCCTGCGCCCTGACCCCGCCCTCACACCCAGGCTTCGTCTTCTCTCTGCATCTGTCCATGCTTCCCTCCATCAGCAGCAGGAAATTCCTCAGCTATGGCTCTAGGATCATCAGACATGGGACAGGTATGGAGTTTCCTCACCTGTGACAGAAATGGACAGTGGGTCACTCGGGGCTGACCACCTGTAGGAAGATTCATGGAAGGAGCCGAAGCATCTGTAGGTCCCTCCGTGGGTGGCAGGGCCCAGAGGGAAGTGGGCCTGGAATGTTCCATTGACGCTCAGCACTGCAGGGAGCGTGAGTTCAGGGGCCTCCCCCTCCCGGGATAGATGGTACATGACAAATGAGCTCCGGGAGCTGCAGGACAAGGTCACGTTCTCTCCTGGCCGAACCGTGGGGCCTGGCTGGGCTGAGAGAGAAGGTTTCCCGTATCGACCTGGAAGGAGAAGAGGCAGTTTACTCAGGAGGATCCTCCTTGTCACAGCTCCCTTCACACCTGAGCTGAGAACTCACGCCCCTGCTCTATGAGCTAATGCTCTCTCACCCTCCACCCCGCCTCTCTTCATGTCTGTTTTCTCATTCTACCTTGCGTGTCTCTCTAGGTCGCTCCTCTCACTCCCCATCCCGAGGTAGGTTTTCCGTTTTTTGTATTGTTTTATTCTCTCTGACTCTACTTGGATTGGTTGATCTTTTTCCTTTAATCCTGAGTCTCTCACTTTCTGTCTTGTTCATAACTTTCTGCATATTTCTAACTATTATGTATGTCTCTATTTCTGTATTTGGTGTCTACAAATTGTCTATCATTAATATGTATGTATCGTCTATCAATGGTCTATCTTTCTATGCATCAATCATCTATTACCTATATCTATGTGTCATCTCTCTATTATCTCACTGTCTGCCTATCTATCTATCATCATCTCCATGTATCATCTGTCAATCAATCATCTATGTATCTATAACCTATCTATGATCTGTCATCTACCTATCTATCATCTATCTCTGTCTATCCATCCATTTATCATCTGTCTCTCCACCTCCTTGTCTCTCTCCGCCTCTCGGTCTCTCTAGCTGTCTCTGGAATCTCTGCAATCCATCCCACATCTCCGTCTTTCTCTCTCCTTGTGCCCCTCCCTCAGGGCCCTGATTTTAGGGCCTTTCTCTGTTCCCTTCCGTCATTCCCTCCACTTCTCTGCCCTCTTTTCTCTCTCTTTATGTGTCTGTGAGTCTCTCAATCCCCTTTCCCTGGCTCATTCTGTGTGTGTTTATGTCTTTGCATTTTGATAGTGCTGATTTCTCTCTCTGTCTCTCAGTGATTATATAATATGTGGGGTTATTTGGAATATGAGCCTCAGAATCCAGTCTGGGGACCCCAAGTACACATAGCACACAGGGGTTAGTGTTCCAGGGCCATGGTATCCTGGGACGATTACAGATCCACTGCACGGAAGGCAGAGGTGTCAGAATAAACACGGCATCTGTAGGTGCCACAAGGCCTGAGGCCAGAGGGCCCAACTCAGGTCAGAAATCTGGGTGACTTTGGGTTCTCCTGGTAGAGAACACTTTGTGGAGGAAATGCAGAAATAAAACTTCTACCCTGTGCCAGGTGTCTGAACAAGCCAGCATGCAAGGACACCTCTCTCTGGGACATGTCTGTCTGTCTGTGTGTCCCCTTTACCTCTTTCTGTTTTCTCACTCCCTGTATGGCCCCCATGTCTGTCCTCTGTTATGATGCGTGGTCTGTACTTGTGTCTCCTGTTTCTCTGTCTCTGCTGGTACAGACCTCACCAAGTCAGTCTCTCTCCATAAGAACCTCACGCTCATCTTCCTTATGACCACCTGGGGCTTCCAAGTCCTGGATCATTCACTCTGTGTCCCAGTGACAATGAGAAGAATGTCTGGACACTCTGACCTGTGGTCACGATGTCCAGGGGGTCACTGGGAGCCGACCACTCATAGGGGGAGTGAGTGACAGAGCCGTAGCATCTGTAGGTCCCTGGAAGGCCAGGCATCGTGGGATCTATGGAGAAGTTGGCCTGGGAGCCCGCACCATGGGGCTCTCCAACGAGGTGCAAGATGTCCTCAGTGATCCCCTTTCTGTGCAGAAGGAAGTGGTCAAACACGGTATCTGACCAACATTGCAGGATGACCGTCTCTCTTGATTTCACCACGGGACCTGGGAGGGCCTGGAGGGAAGGTTTTCTGTAGACTCCTAGGAAGAGAGATTATGAGTTTAGAAGGCGTCTCCCTTTCTCATCGCATCCTTGGGACCTGGAATGAGTGAGGCTTCCCCTCCCCGGTGTCTGACTCTTTCCTCCCTCTCTGTGTCTCCGTGCTCCTTTCTGTGCCCATCACCCCTGGTGCAGGTCCCTCCATCTGTCTCCCTCCCTCTTCTCTGTCTCTGTCTCTAGTAGCCCCTGACTCCTTCCCACGGGGCTCAGCCTCATCCTTTGGGCTGTTGTTTCTGTTTCCCACTAATCTGTTTCTTACTGTCCACGTGGGGGTGGAAGAGGAACCACGACAGGTCTGCAGGGCTGAGTTCCCTCTGGAGACTTGGGGAGAATCAGTTCCCTTGACTTCTCCAGCCCCTCGAGGCCACCTGCATTCATGGCTCCTGGCATTCCTCCACCTTCAGAGCCCGCAGTGGCTGGTGGAGTCTCCCTCCCACTACACTGCGGTAATCCCCACTCCCCTCTTCCTCCCCCTCTCATGTGGGCACTTGTGATGACACTGAGCCCAGCTGGACAGTCCAGGCAGCCTCCCCATGTCAAGGTCAACTCATCAACAACCTGAGCTCCATCTTCCCATTCAGTCCCCTGCCCTGTAACAGAAATAGTCACAGGCTCCAGGGATGAGAATGTGGCCATCACTGGGGACAGTTATTCTTCCTACCACAGCACCCACTTCCCTGTATTCAATCCCCTTTACCCCAAATACAGTCAGGGCCTGGGTGATCGGACCCTGACGGACACCCCACCAGAAGCT